GACCAGCCATGACAATAAGGGTTTTGAAACACTGGCTGGCATTATTTCCTACATCACTGTTGTAACTCCTGGAGAGTTACCTTATGTCAGGTGCTCAAAGTGTCTAAGAGCTGAAATCCAATTCATCTTTAGAAACTTCAGGAAATTAGGTGAGAGTGACTGGTCCACAAAAAGTGACTTTCACATTCGTGAAAAGGAGACAGATCATCCCTGTTGTGTTGAGGTTTTCCTGCAGAGTCATGGCAAGGGGATTGAGTAAATATTAAATGTTTTCTTGAGAAAGCAAGTCATATGTTCCAATACCAATGTGACTGTTGCAGCCGTTCGTTGACCACCAAGGTTAGGAAAGATTTAACCTTCAAAATAGATTGGGATGGAGTAATAGTTACATGCTTGTTAAATCCTGATGAATTGGCGGTTGTCTGTGTTGTGACCAGTAATGCTGTAGGAATGTGGCTGGAAAATACCAACCTAAGAAAATGAGATTCTGCTCAGAACCACACAGTGTTCGAGCAGGAACAGAAGGTGGCAGTCAGATCTCCTGCTCCTGGGTTTCCAGATAAGGGCCTCCAAATCTTGAGTAGGTCCCAAAGTCTAGTGTGTGTAAAAATGCAGAGGCCTGGGCCTCGAGCATCAGAGATTTTTATTCAGTTGGTCTGGAGTGGAGCCAGAACAACTGTCTGAACCTTTAACAAGACCCTGAGGGGATCCTCTGCTGGTGTTCCAGACACTACACTGGACCTATGGTCAGTAAAAGCGAGCCCAACATCCACAGGGAGACAGGCATCTGAGTCGTCTCAGCAACGCTGTGCAGGATTATTTCCTGGTACCTGAAATTTATTATGGTTAACCTAGAGTCTAACTGAAAGAGTACTGCATTGGATGTAATGCCTGGACCAAGCAGTCCTAACCATCTCAGGGATCCTTTTTATTGAGAGGGGAAAGAGCATTCTGGCATAGAGCAGAACCGACTTGCCTTGGGATGTTCTACCTCCCTCTTCTGCCTAGGACTGGTTGGGGGAAACCTACAGATCTATTACAAATATAGTACGGTCATATTTGCTTAACTGTCTGCATGTATTCACCTTGTCTTCAAGATAAAATTCGGAGAAAGGTATGTCTGACTGCCTCCACTTAAAAGTAGATAAGCGGGGGGCGACGCCTGGGTGGCTCAGTCGGTTGAGTGTCCAACTTCAGCTCAGGTCATGATCTCGCAGTTGGTGAGTTTGAGCCCTGCGTCGGGCTCTGTGCTGACAGCTCAGAGCCTGGAGTTTGCTTATGATTCTGTGTCTTCTTCTGTCTCTGCCCCTTCCCCACTCATACTCTGTCTCTCTCTGTCTCTCAAAAATGAATAAACATTAAAAAACATTTTTAAAAAAAGTAGATAAGAGGGTAGGAATGCAGTCACAACCAGGGTTAAGATGAGGGTGGGCCTACATTCATAAAAGCGTTCTGATGCAAGTCTCTCAAGAACTTGGATTCGAAACCCTAATTTGGAGAACTCAGTGGTCATCCGCTGCCTATCCTCTGAGGTCAGAGACAAAACCTGCTATTTGTATTAAAACCCCAAATTAGTTATTGCTTCTGAAATTCTGCTCTGCTCACTGTCTTACTTAAGCTTTGTCATTTGCTGGAGTTCTAGGAGCTAGCAAGACATCTGTGGTTGAGATTGCTCCACAAGATACAGATCTCACAACTGCAGTAGCTTATCAAAAAAGAAATCTATTTCTTGGGCAGAGAGCCACACGATCCAGAGAAGGTGGAAGAAAATAGTCATTTCCATCTTAAAACAGGCTCTGACGCATAGCCAGACCCCACTGACACTGGTCACATGTATTTTGGGAGAACTTCAGTGTGTGTATGTGTGTCTGTGGGTGGGTGTGTGGGCATGTGCATGCGTGCTCATGCACACCCATGCACACAGGAATGAATGTTTTTCATTAATTTGGGAGGAGAGATGGGGAGGCACTTGAGGCAAGGAAGCTGTAAAAAAAAAAAAAGTAAAAATAACCATCATTTTTTCTGGCTGAGATGTTGCAGGACATGGATTGTCCATCTTTATTGGAAATCTTTGTGCCTTGGTTGGCTAGTGATGACAAACTTCCTATCTCTAGAAGGGATGTTGGGAAGCTGAGAAGGGCCACCAGAGACATGCTTGCTAAATATTTATCTTACTCCTTTATAGCGAAGGAATCCCTGTGCTGTATTTATACCAAAACAATAAGTAAAGGCTGCTTTCATTCCTGGTTTTACATGAGAACTATGGGTAATTTGCCCATAAGTAGGGAGATATGAGGGTCAGACAGGCAACAGGGAAGACTGAGCTCTCCCACGGTTAATTTTCTAGATTGTTTGAGAGTTTGGGCATTCATCCTGTAGATTATCCACATTCTTTGCTTTCTCCCTCCTGCTGCCTGCCTTTTGCTCTTCAATCTGTTCATTTGCAACTCTACCAGAGGCAGCAACAGAAGATAGAACCAAATCAGTTCATTTGGGCCTCCTAAGTAGTTTTGATAAATAACTGAGTGGGAAAAGGAGCGGCTAAAATTAGATTTTAAAATTATCTGTGAATTTAATGTGTCACTTATGTGTATTATCTGCTGCTCCCCATGATAACTGAAAATAGACTGAAGCTGTCCACAGCCAAAGCAGGTAGGAAATCACACACAGTATCTATCAAGAGACTTTGTCTAGGTGTGGGGCCTATCAGCAAAGCATCGGAAAGGGCCTAAGATGTAAAAGAAAAGACACTATAGAAAGGGTGAAGCTTTTTCTTTTTTTTTTTTTTTACCATTTTATTTAATTTATTTTTTAAATTTACATCCAAGTTAGCATATAGTGCAACAATGATTTCAGGAGTAGATTCCTTAGTGCCTCTTACCCATTTAGCCCATCCCCCTCCCACACCTCCTCCAGTAACCCTCTGTTTGTTCTCTATATTTAAGAGTGTCTTATGTTTTGTCCCCCTCCCTGTTTTTATATTATTTTTGCTTCCCTTCCTTTACGTTCATCTGTTTTGTATCTTAAAGTCCTCATATGAGTGAAGTCATATGATATTTGTCTTTCTCTAATTTCGCTTAGCATAATACCCTCCAGTTCCATCCACGTAGTTGCAAATGGCAAGGGTGAACCTTTTTTAATCCAATCATATTGTAAAGCTAAAAGGAATGAATATTGTTTTAAGTGTCCCTGGCCCTCCAGTACATTTTCTAAGATGCCCGGCGTGTGCCCTATCTGTTGGGTCAATCAGTCCTTTGGCTAGTACATGATTTGAAGTTTATATCTTCTCTCATATACTTATACCATTTCCAGAGACTGTTTAAGTGGAAGAGAAGTTTCATGAAGAAAGGATTTTGAAAAATCTCCCGTGCTTCCAGCTATGTCTCCCAGAACTTTAAAAAGTGCTTAGCGCAGAGGAATATTCAGTAAATATTTTCTGAATGAATGAATGAATGATGATTCTTACTGAACAGATGAGATTAACTGCCCAGGCCATTGTGTAGTTTGTGCTCTCACAGTTGTAAGCAGCAAAAATCAACTTGAATCAGTTTAAAGGGAGTCAGGTAGTATAAGAGTTAGGAGAGTCTCATTGACTCCAGGGTCTTTGTGGGGCTGAAGGCAGATACCTTGGCTCTCTCTCCCTCCTCCTCACTCTTCTCTGTGGTCTGCTCTCCTCTGTGCATCTGCAGACCAGCTTCCCTGCCCCTCATGGGGAAACGTGGCAGCCAACAGAATCTGAGTTAACAAGCTCCAGCTCCAGCCATGAGAAGTGACTCTGAATCTCTCCTAAACCTTGTGCCAAATTCCTGGGCCAGGGCTCTCTCCACCATCCTGTGACCTTACAGTGGTTCAGGGTCAATGTAGTAGAGGAGTTTATGAATTCATCCAAGGGGCACCTGGGTGGCTCAGTCAGTTAAGCATCGGACTCTTGATTTCAGCTAGGGTCATGATCTCACAGTTCATGGGTTCGAGCCCCTGAATCAGGCTCTGTGCTGGCAGTGTGGAGCCTCCTTGGGATTCTCTCTCTCCTTCTCTCTGCACCTCCCCTGCTCTCTCTCTCTCTCTCACTCTCAAAATAAATATTTTTTAAAAGTAAAAAAAAAAAAAAAAAAAAAAAAAGGAATTCATCCAAGCAGGAGAAGCCACTCCTTCCTCCATCAATTTCCCTGATGACAGATCAGACAGCATGTATAATCTAGCTTGTTGTTGTGCATGGAAATACCTAGGTGTTTGTTTGTTTGTTTTTCTGAAATAACCTAGGCAATTCGCCCTTTTATCTGTGGAAATGCATAATTATGGGACAAGTCCTGAGACTCTTCTCAAAGAGGTAAAAACCTGAGCCCAACAGTGTGAAGAGGAAGGCTCCTGTTCCCTAAATCACTGCAGGGATGAGATGGATGCCCATTGATGTGTCTGACAGACACAGAGGAGATGAGGATGCTAAGAAGCAGATGACTAGATGAGACTCAGTGACAACGCCTGGCTGACATTCCATCCCGCAGACGTAGCAATTTTTTTTTACACTGAACTCTATTTGAAGAGTCAGCCATTCCTGTTAATGATTTAAAGATATCTTCCTTTTGGTGGTGTAACTACAATGTCAAATGCTTCCTTCATACTTTCCCTAGTTCTTCGAAGTCTAAGTACACGCCAAAAAGAACATGTAAGAGATAAAAACAAACAAAAAGAATACGTATGAGAGATAAGGATTACAAGATTTTTCTGTAAATCTTCCATACCTCCCAAGGAGTGACACAGCAAACATCTCAAACTTTACCCATGCCCTGTGGCCAGCCTTCTTTTGTCCTTTTTGCTTTGAGAGCACAAGCCATCCAGCCTTCAGATCTTGAGCTGTGGACAGGGAAGACCCATTTGTAAGGTAGAAAGTAATTCCTCTCACACTTGCAAGGTGCTATGTTTCCTTCCTCATTTGACGTTCTGACAGATCTAACGGCTCATCCGCCGGCGCCAAGACTGTGGGCTCATGAGGCTCCCTCTGGGCGCTGGGCTGTGCTTCTGTCTGACCACACGGGGTCGCTGTTTTACCAGTTCTAGCCAGACGTCTGCGTGGCTCACACCTTAGTTCAACAGTTGGGCAATGGGGTCCTGGTGAATTAATGGCAGAAACGAAATCTGAATACCAAACGAAATCTGACTTTTAGATTTTTATTTGTTTGTTTGAACCAATTTGGAAAGAGGTGTTATTTTACTTATTTTTAGAGATGAGTGTGGAAAGTAATAGAGTTAAGGAAACCATGAGATTAAAAAATCAAGCAACCGGGCTGTCTGGGTGGCTCAGTTGGTTGAATGTCCACCTCTTGGTTTGGGCTCAGGTCATGATCACAGGCTTGTGGGATCAAGCCCCATGTTGGGCTCTGTGCTGAGCATGTAGCTGCTTGGGATTCTCTTTCTCTCTCTCCCTCTGCCCCTCTTCCCCACTGGTAAAAAAAAAAAATTAAATCAAGCAACCATTGGGGGAGGGAGAAGGAAACCATGAGGACAATGCCTAGTCCTGCTTGGCTGGGCCACTGAACTTGAGTGATGACAATGGAGTGTGGGTCAGGGAAGTGGCTGCATACTGGGCATGCCTTTAGCCAAAGTTTATTCCTTGCTCTTAAGTAGTTTCTATGCTGCGAAATACTTTGCATGCTTTGCTTGAAGGTTATCATTATAGACATGGGGTATAATTATAGCTACCAATTATCTAGTGCTTACTGTATACTGGCTGCTTTATATATATTACACATAATTCTCTCAGTACCTCTGTAAGCTAGGCATTATTATCCACATGTGACAGATGGCAAAACTAAGACTCAGAGAGGCTATGTAATATCATTTGACTCACACAGCTAATAATTGATGCTGACACCGGAGCTCTTTCTGGTTCCTTAGTGGGTTTCTGGGTAATTATAGCATCTAGTCACCTGAAATAAGAGGTGCCTATTTCCTTTTAAGTCTCAAGGTGTGTACAGTAATCTTCCTCATCTAGCCAGCATGAATTTTGGATGAGAAGAGCGACTGAGGAAATTTCTTTTGATGGGGCACACGGTGGAAGGAACTTGGTGATCTCAAATCTAAAGTCAAAGGACGGGGGTGCCTGGCCAGCTCAGTTGGTAGAGCATGTGACTCTTGATCTCTTTTGATCTCAGGGTTGTGAGTTTGAGTCCCATGTCGGGTGCAGGGAGTATTGAAAAATAAAATCTTTTAAAAAAATTGAAAAGGTAAAGTAAAAGGACAAAGCATACAGAGCCAATTACAGGAAATCAGGCACAAAATGACCAGAGTATATTTATGTACGTGTTGAAGCAAAGAGAGAGCTGTGTATTGCTGAACTTGGGGAGTTACATGTCTAGGACAGTGCAACCAACTAGGCAACTCACAGTATGAATTACAGAGCTGCCTTTGTGGTGGGGGTCATTGTACACAAGAGAAGTGGCTTTTTTTTTTTTTTTTTTTTAAATAAGCTCCATGCCTGACATGGGGCTTCAACTCACAACCCTGAGATCAGGTCATGTGTTGTACCGACTGAGCCAGCCAGGCACCCCAGTTTTTTTTTTTTTTTTTTCTTTGCGAATCTTAATTTGTTCTGGCAATGTAAGTAACACAGCATTAGGACTTGAGCCCTCAGGCTAGGTGAGACATTGTGGCCCTTGGAAAAAGCACCAAGCTGGCAGGAGGTGGTGAGATGGACTCTTCATGGAAAGGGGATGAGCCGTACAGATGAACAATGGGTAGGTTTCATGTGTCAAATCCCAAGTGCTAAGAGGGAGAGGAAGAACTGTACCAGCCTTAATGTGGAGCTTTAGAAGAAAAAAATACCCTTCCTTTCAATTATTAAGGACAGGTCTGAGGGGAAGGGGACAAGTCAAGTTGCTTATTGCTTCCCTTCTATGGACCTACAGGGTCTATGAACAGAGGAAAGAATGGGGATTGGCTGGTGGGAGAGCAGGGGTGGGAAGGGGAGTCACACAGTTCCCGGGTTTATGAGTCAGTCCCTGTGCTGGCCTTCATCCCCCAAGGCCAGAGCAGCATCTCTTCCTTCTGAGGAGATGGCCTGAGCTCTCAGGACTGGATGCATCAGCTTTCTGGCCTTCCCCATGATCCTTGGTTACTGGGATTCCCTTGTATCTCAAAAGCCTTGGAACAGTAAAGTCTCTCTCCAGGAATTTCCTTTCCAGTCAAAAAGCAGCCAAGTCTGCTGGCAGAAATGTTCTTTCCCTACCAGCAGGGTGGAAATCTGGCCAGTCCTCAGGAAGGGGCCTCGGAGGCCATTCTCTTCTCTGCTGCTTCCCCCGTATTTACCCAAAGGAAAACTCTCTTTCCATTGCCTTTCCCAGGTATTAGGAGTCTGAGGTTTTGAATAATAGTGGTCTTTACAATTCACAAGGGCTCTAAAAATGTCTGATGGCAAACAGACAAAACCATGAGCTGAGCTTCTGAACTTCCGTTCCCCAAGTGCTCTTCCAGCTGTCCAGTCTCTATGCCAGGACTTAATTCTTCTTCACAAAGAAGTAATTTCTATCACAAGGAAAGGAGACAATCTGAAGTACTTTTGAATTACGTGACCCATTCAGCCATTTGAAAGGCCCCATCTCCAAACCCAGTATAGCCTTGGCCCTTGACCAGACCAGTCAAAGCGTGGAGGCTGTGTGCTCCACAATGGGGTCAGAGGCACTGTGGGGACAGTGACACTGAGGGCAGGACACTGAGGGCAGGACACAGAGGGTGTTTTGATGCCAAGTGAGAACATGGAGCTCTTCTCATCACACTTGCCAGGTGTGCCCAAGGGAGTGGCTCACCCGGGCATCTGGGCTCAGAGCAAGACTAGGGGAGTGCTGTGGAGTGAGCAGCTCTTAGGGTTCCCCATCCTCCAGCTGCTCAGAGAGAAAGGAGCCCTGGTCAAAGCAAGATGGGGTTTAGTGTCACAGGAGAGGAAGCTTGAAACGGACATCGAGCAGAGCTTGGATTGCAGCTGGTTATTTTGAGTTCAGTCTGAAGCAATGCTCTCTCTATCTAGTGTGTGGAAACAGTGAAATAAGCAGTTATGTTCCCCTTTTGGTGGTGCTGGTAAGGAGGGAGTTCATTGCTTGCTAGGCACTGGTTCCTCATTGCTTGCCCTCGATCTGGCTGAATTGAAAACTTGGGACTCTCAGGATCTAGACCTAGAGATACCGCTGAGTGAATCTGGGGTGGGGCCTCAGAACCTGTGTTTTAAAAAAACCCCTTGGGTGATTGTGCTCACCAGCAAGGTTTGGGAATTGCTGATAGGTTACCATGTCTGACTACACCCAAATGTTCCATGCAGTAAGATTGGCTATTGGCAGGAACAGTTGGGCTTAGAAGTGTGACCCAAGTCCCAGGGTGTTAGAGGTCCGAGGATGGGAATTCAGAGTCAATCATCAATGTCTACACACTCAAGAGTCAACTGGGAGGGGTGCCTGAGTGGCTCAGTCAGTTAAGCATCGGACTCTTCATTTTGGCTCAGGTCATGATCTTGTGGTTCCTGAGTTCGAGTCCCGCATTGGGTTCCATGCTTTCAGTGCCACATCTTCTTGGGATTCTCTGTCTCTCCCCCTCTCTCTCCATCCCTCCTACACATATGTGCTCTCTCTCACTCTCTCTCAAAAATAAATAAACTTAAAAAAAAAGAATTCTCCCCTACATTTGACAAAGGCCTAAAAAGAGAAAGAAAAAGGGTGAACTGGGAGGGAGACTGGTAAACTGTCCCAGATTAGAATCTCCCAAGAGACTAAGAGCAGTACAGTCTGTCCCCAGATCCTCCTACATGAGAAGATGTGTAAGTGTAACCTCCTAGACCCGTTTCTAATCTCTACTGTGGTCAGTTGATTCCCCTAGTTTTGGAGAGTTGCACCAGACACAGCATGCACAAGCAGCACTGCTCTCAGATTGTACAAGACTACGCGCCTTGTGTGCAGATCTGGGCAGACCTGAGAGATAAGAGCTCAAGAGAAGCCTCTGAACGTTGTGGGTTCCCATGCCGGCCAGAGCAGGGCAAAGCTCTGCTGAACTGAACAGTTGCACACACTGGCTGGCTCTGCCCCAGGACCGACTGGCAGAAGCCAACTGGGGCTTTGTGTTCTCTAAGCAAAGTCCCCAGGGAGCATCTCTGTTTCTGTTTCAGCAGTCTTGAATTTGGGTTTGGCACCAAATTAAGAACTCACCCTGATAAAAACTTGGTTAACCTGTAGAGTCAATATGAACTTTTGATGGGCATGGAGACCCAGGGCCAGAGACCAGAATTCTCATCAGCTCTGTTGACCATTTGTCTAAGAACCTTAGACAAAAACATCAGGCTTCCAGGCGTTAGCTTGCTTATCAGCTCCTGGCCAGGTCTACCTACCACTCAGGGGTTGTGTAAGGCTTAGCTGCCACAGAAGATGAGGAAGTAATGTTGAAAATGCACACAATCCATTCTGGTGTTACTTATTTCAGTTATGCTGTGGAGTGTTGTGAACTGACCCAATCCCTGTTTCTAAGCCTTCTATTGCGTTTTCCCAACAAAGTAGTAAAAAACACTTCTTCTGCCAAACTTTTTTTTTTTTTTTTTTGGTAACAAAAAAAACCCCAAGGTGGATATAGAATAGCCAGACAGAGGCTATTTGTCACCAGGACAGGTAACTGAGAATTATAGATCTCATTCCCTAAGAAAGTTAAGAAAATAAGATACATTTAGATGTTTGGGAGAATTTAGTACAATCTGGGGACAGGGAGAAAACCAGACACACTCTGGAGACTCAGCTCAGCTACTCAACTCTGTGAGTCCTGCCTCCCTTAGGGAATTAACCAACCTCTAAAAAAACATTAGCAAGGGCACAGATCTGGTGCAGATACTTGGCTTCCCAAGCAACTAGCTAAATGATCTCATGCAGTTTCCCTGGCAATAAAACAGGGATAATAATATCTTTACCTCAAATAAGATAATGGATGTGAAAACCTTTTGTGAAATATAATCCTTTGAGAGATTGAGATATTGGTATAGATACATTGAGACTGTATCGAGGCAAAAGCAAAGAAAGCATGATTTTTAAAAAGTACAGAATTATGACATGTAAGATCTTGGGAATCATCTCTTGATTGAAGCCAACTACATCTGTAAGGAATCTCACCTGGATTTCTTTAGTCTTTTGTATACCCGGAAATCCACCGTTCTTTCCTGTGTCAACTTTGGTCTTTCCTGAGAGGGTCATCAACTGAAAAATAAGTGAATGTTTATAAATTAGAATTTCAAAAACGTGAAAATTCAAAATTAAGTAGAAAACCTGCTCTTCTTCAAAAGGGAGCCATTTTTTAAATCTCCAGTCTGCTTACCATTGTTTCTGGGGTACAAAGACCTTAGGAAACCTCAAAAGGACCAAGAAACCTGGACTAGAAGCAGAAGGAAAGTAGGGTTATCCTTGGGGCTCTCAGAAGATGTGGACGGGGAGCCAGATGCCCAGAGGAATTCTGGGATTTACTCTGCCTTCTTCAGGTTCTGGCCATGCTGCTCATAACTCTTTCTTTTCTGTGGCCTCCATCCCACGCTGTGGCAGTCACACAGAGGGCTGAGAATCAGGGAAGTGCCCCCGCCCTCCAGAAAAGTTCTCTGATGGGGGAAGAAGATTCTCAGGATCTCAGGTTGGACGTTGGAAGGCATTTTCTGAGGGATAACTCCCCCGGGGCGGTGGGGGGGGGGGGGGGTTGTGTTACCCTTGTACAAATGATGATTTCAAGGACACAGGAAGTTCTCTTGGGCTGTTCTGAATAATTAAGATTACACATTCCCTTGTTTATCTAGGGGAAATGCCTCCCAATTCTAAACATTTGACTTACAAATTCCCTTTCCAAGAACAATGCCCATTCATGAGTTGGGGACATTCTGTACAAACAATGGCTGGTCAGCTGTCACAATTCTCAGGACAGGGAGGTGGTTAGCGTGTCACCCCTACAGAGTGGGGTGTGTTTAGAAACTCAACTCCTAGTGTTTGTTAGGGATGCATAAACATAAAAGATAGGTCCAGACCTGTCCAGAGGAACATGCCCTGTGCATGTAACAGTCACACGTCCTAACATGTCACCTAACCTTTGCTCTGAGCTGAAGAATATTGGGTAACTGTGACCTCCACTGAGGTCATAGTAACACACCTTCAGATACTATCCAGGCTAACAATGTTTAGAAAAAATTAACTCCCAAGTAGCACACTTATCATTTTTCCTGCTTATCTTTTTTTTTTTAAGATTTTATTTTTAAGTAATCTCTACACCCAGCATGGGGCTCAAACTCACAACCCCAAGAATGAGAGTAGCATGTTCTACCGACTAAGCCAACCAGGCACCCCTCTCCTGTCTTTTGACAATACAGGAGTAGAGAAACTGTTTGGAAATCAAAACACTGAGGTTATCTTTTTTTTTGCATTTCATGTAGAGAGTTTCTTTCTTTCTTTTTTGCATTTCTTTCTTTTTCTTTTCTTTCTTTCTTTTTTGCATTTCATGTAGAGAGTTTTATTTATTTCTATTTCAGCTTTTTAAGAAAACATCATTGGCATAAGTACTGTACAAGTTTTAGGTATACAGCATAATGACCTGACTTACCTATGTTGTATAATTGCCACAGTAAGTTTAGTTAACGCCCATCATCTCAGATAGATACCAAAAAAAAAAAAAAAAAAGAAAGAAAGAAAGAAAAAGGAAAGAAAAAGACAAAATGCTTTTTTTCCTCATAATGAGAACTTTTAGGATCTACCCTCTTAGCAACTTTTAGATGAACCGCATAGAGCAGTGTTAACCACAGCCATCACGCTGTCATTACGTCCCCAGGACTCATTTATAGAACCCGGGCTTTTTCCAAATCCCTATTTGTAGAGTTCTAGGCAGACATAGATTAAGATTTTGTGGGAGTTAAAGGCTATACAATGGAGGTGGGGGAGACAATAAAAAAAATAATGAATACCAAATTATGAATAGCAAGAGAGACACCCTGAAGCTTAAACTTCACTCTGGTTCTAGGGAAAGCATCCAGAAGATTCCATGAAAATCTTATAGAGGCTTAAGTTGTTTTTTGTAAAACATTCTCACTCCTTCTTGCCTTAAGTGAATTCTGGAATTTCCTTGACAATGTCCTCAGTTGAAAACTTGCTAGGGTGCCTGGGTGGCTCAGGCATGAAGCATCTGACTTTAGCTTAGGTTTTGACCTCACAGTTCGTGAGTTCAAGTCCCCATCAGGTGAACTCCAGCTCTGTTTTGGGGGTGCCCCACTTCTCTCTCTCTCTCTCTCTCTCTCTCTCTTTGCCTCTCCTGGGATTCTCCTTCTCTCTCTCTTTGCCCTTTGCTCAGTTGAGCCCTCTATCAAAAAAAAAAAAAAAAAAGAAAGAAAGAAAAGCTTTCTAGGGTAAAGGCTCTTCTTTCTCTCATGCCCCTTTGCTAAGGGGCTTGAGGAGGGGGAGGTGCTGCGTGCATACCCCACAATTTCAGAACTAGCCAGCAAAGCCTCCAGTCAGACCTTCCCCTCTCCGCACCTGGGGGTTCCTCTGCAAAGGCAGTGGGATTGAGGCACATGGCTACCTCTTCCTCCCAGCCAGTCTCCTGACAGTAAGCTGGGCCATGTTGGCAACTCACAAGCTGGCCACACCTGTGGAACTTGTCCCCTGATTTTTGTATTATCTGGCAGTTTCAAAGCCTAGATCCTCTTTGGATCCCTGAGCCCCGGCTCCCCTGCCTCGCCCTCATGGCTTCCAAACGTGCCCCGTGCTCTCATTACTACACTTCCTGGCTGTCTGCCCTGGCCTGCCCTCATTTTCTGCTCTCAGGACCGGGCCCTCATGGCCAGTCATAAGCACCCCACCCCACCGGCACCCTCAGATTCCACCTTCCACTGGCCATCTTGTTGAGAAGCAGCACTCAGCAGCGTGTGACTTACAGGGGTGAGCCGGTGGCATCCAGCCACTGAGGAAATACACTTCACTTTCTCTCCCACTGGGGCAAAGAGCCTTCTCAGATCCGATTCCTGACCCCTGCAGGGTAGAAAGGGTCTTTTGCACCTGTATAAAAACAGCTTTCAAATGCTCAAAGTGCTTTCCCGGGGCATGACCTTGAATGGTTACCTCCTTACCTTGGCCACCCACTGTCTGATTTCTCTCTGTTCCTTTCTCCTGCTGTGGTTTGCTGAAGAAAAACCACAGACCTAGGCATTCGCCCTCAGACAGACTCCTGCGGCTGGACCTCTCTTCTCCTCAGATGTGCCCCTCTCCCCTCTTCGGTTTCTCACCCCTGCCCCCCCACTGCCCCCCCACTGGTGTCCTCATCCTCTCTGCTGATGCTGCTCTGCCCTGGCCCTGAGACTGGGGGCGACACGAATTCCTGCCATTTCGCAACCCCTTCTCCCTCCAGAATTGTCCATTAACTTCACTCTTCCTCCCCGACAGCCTTCACTGTGGAGAAGAGAGAATTCAAGGAAGGTTCCAATGGGATTTTGTCCACACCTCCACTAGATCCCCCTCATCATGTGCAGTGGAGGTGTCTGTATATCTTGAGGCTACAGTTGGGACCTGCTAATAACCCCTGTTCCAGTGAGGGATTGGCTACTGGAAGGAAGTTTAGTGATTTGTTATGGTGTTTTCTTTTTACTTTTTTTTCAACACTTTATTTATTTTTGATAGAGAGAGACAGAGCACAAGTGGGGGAGGGGCAGAGAGAGACAGAGACACAGAATCCCAAGCGGGCTCCAAGCTGTCAGCACAGAGCCCGACGCGGGGCTCGAACTCACAAACCGCGAGATCATGACCTGAGACGAAGTCGGTCGCTTAACCGACTGAGCCACCCAGGCGCCCCAGCGATTCATTATGTTATGTCTGCTAGATTGTACAGGTGCTGAAGTCAGTGCTTGGATCTGTTGGATACAGCACCAGTTCACGGCACATGTGACTGACACATGTTAAAAGCTCAGTAAACATTTGTGGAAGGGAGGCAGGAAAGAAAGAAAGGAGGAGGGAAGTTGCTTAGGGGTAAATATTTCTAGGGAGGGTGCAGCCATGCTAAGGGCTAGTAGAAGGTTCAGATTGGAACCTTCTTTTTTTTTTTTTTTAATTTTTTTTAACGTTTTTTTAATTTATTTTTGAGACAGTGAGAGACAGAGCATGAACAGGGGAGGGTCAGAGAGAGGGAGACACAGAATCCGAAACAGGCTCTAGGCTCTGAGCTGTCAGCACAGAGCCCGACGCGGGGCTCGAACTCACAGACTGCGAGATCATGACCTGAGCCGAAGTCGGCCGCTTAACCGACTGAGCCACCCAGGCGCCTCCAGATTGGAACCTTCTACTGAGAAGCGCCATTGAAGGCAAGAACGATGAGGGAATACACCACTCAGTCCAGAACAACTAATGATCTTTTTTTTTCAGTCTTATTTTTTAATACTCAATGCTTAAATAATGATGTTTTGTGCAGCCCTTTGTATTTGTGATAGAAGAGATATGGAAAGAGCAAAGGAAATAGCTGACCAGGGCAGTTTGTCTTTACAAACTAGGGAAGAAGGATTTGACGAAAAAAATGAAAAGGATGTGTGTGGGTGAAACCTTCAAAGAATACACTAAAGCAAATTCCTAGTTGCACACTCACCTGTACACCTGTATTTACCTTTATGGCTTTCTCTAGGAATTAGAAATTGCGCGTTTGCATTGATAGCCATATTCCAATTCCAGTCAACACCATAAAGTTCATTTTCATTTTCTCTGACAGTGAGAAACTGGCTCTAATGAAAAGAATAAAAAAGAAGCAATGGGTCACCACGATCCTAGCTCCCGTGTCAGCCTCCTTGTAATGCCTGCAAGGGCGTAGCTCAGACTAGGGCAGAAGCAGTCTAAGCAGACCAGCGTGGCTGTGGGTGCACCTCCAGATTGTAAAAAGTCCCAGATGTGTCAGTGCTTCAGATTGATTTGGACACCCTTTATTTATTTACTTAAAAAAATTTTTTTAACATTTATTTATTTTTGAGACAGAGAGAGAGCATGAACAGGGGAGGGTCAGAGAGAGAGGGAGACACAGAATCTGAAACAGGCTCCAGGCTCTGAGCTGTCAGCACAGAGCCCGACACGGGGCCCGAACCCACGGACCGCGAGATCATGACCTGAGCCGAAGTCGGACGCTGAACCGACTGAGCCACCCAGGCGCCCCGATTTAGGACACACTTTAAATGCACACCAGGGCAAAGCTGAGCCAAAGC